CTTCGCTTTCAACTGTTGTCTAAACTAGCTAAGATAATAGCATATTCAGTACAGAATGCTGAGATTTGGTTCTTGTTTCTGTTGTAAATGTTGGTAAAGTTGTGCCCAGGAAAGTAATAATAATATGTTTATTCTCAAATAACAATGTTAAAAGAGTCACGCCAGTTTACAGGCTAGATCAAATTGTCACAAATGCTTTCACATTTACTGTAAAAGTTATAGCAGTTAAATTAAGTATAAGAGTCAGTTTCTGATAGCATATTTACACCATGTCACTGACAGAAACAGTATAATACAGCCACATTTTCAATAGTAGAGTACAAATAAGGAAGGTGCACAATAGGTTCCTTTGGCGATTTGCCGAGATCAATAGTGAATTTGTTGGGAAATGTCTTATGGAACGCGCTTGATACGAGCTGTGATCCAGACAGTCATGTACTAGGGTGCATGTTCCCTGGAGTCGCCAAGGATTTCCCACCGTGAATGGGGTTCTGAAAAGGAGAAAAGAGAGAGAGAAAAAGGCAGCAGTGTGGCAAGTGTATATATATAACTAAAGCACTACTTAACCTGTCATGCTGAAGTAGTCAATACAAGTAGTAAGTCAAGATAAAATTCATACTGACCACTTAAATTAAAGTAAATTATGGGAATGTAAGAATATAACCCACAGATAAAGGAGTACAGCAAAAAAGAAGGAAGAGTTGTGCAGTGTAGGATTTAATTTTTTCTACAGATGTAATTCTACAACAGTAAACGTTATACTGGCGAGCACAGAGTCTGTAGTAGAGCTTTAGTAAAAGAAGGTCAACTTGGTTTTCAACTTTATCTGTTTCTAATCAAAAAAGACGGTTAAACTGGTACGATAAATAAGGAAATTACAATTATCAAGTAAGACGAGCGAATGTACCGACCAGTATGGCGTGTCTTTAGAAAATGAATAAAAACATGAGTCACATCAGTATAATAAAATAATAACGTCCTTCAATCAATAGGTCATTTACAACAATGAAGGTTTACAGAGCGGTCAGACTAGATAACGTGGTGAGCGCTTAAACCAATCTGACTGGTTAGTTATGGCATAACTACAATTAGTAATAAAATAACTAACACGCAGTGTCAGGTAGATAGAAGAGAAGTTGAAGTAAGAAGCTGGATTTATGTACGTTGAAATCGAAAGGGTAGAGTTTGTAAAAAGAAGACATTGAAGAATAAAAGTTCTCACTGTCTAACTGTTTTTTTATTAATATTATTGAATGCCAACCTCTAAGTCATACTGTAAGCGCCTGAGTAAGAATGTTGCGGGTGTCTCGAAAGAATAGCGACCTCAACATAGTTTTGGAAATATGAACCTCAGAAGCAGCAAGCGCATAAGAACAACCTCAGTGTTTCTGATTAGTCGTCTCATCATTCTAAAGAGCCGAAAGCAAACAAAATGTTCTGCCCCACAAACATGGGTGGTTTGAAGTCATCACCCAATCATCCAGTTTATAGTTGAACAGTGTCGATCGACCCTGTCTATTTCAAAAAAAACTAAAGTGATTTATATTCAACTACAAATATTTAAGCGTGAAAATAACTAAATAAGACGCAGCACTGAGTTCATTGTATTTTAAGTGTATGCAGAGCTAATAATATGGAAGCAGGGTGCGAGTGACTTCACGAGTGCAGAAGTCAGTGCAACTGAGAGCATCATTAAGAAGTTGAACAAACTCATGTAACCCACTAACCATGCGAATTTTTGAGGGAAGCCTACTCCTTATAAGTGCATACTTAGTGAGGAAGAAGTTTTCTCGAGATTTGGATCTATACTTCTCAAGTTTGACCGCAGATACTTTATCTCGAAGGTTATGTGTACATGGGCCATGGATAAGGACTAAACTACAGGAGGAATATGTGAGCTTGTGCAGGAGTTAAAAGTAAAGGATCAAACTGGACTTAAGCCTTCTTTTCCATAATGGATCAAGCCCAAGTTAAATACATCGAGTTGGATATTCAATGTGTGAGCTATGATTTAGGACTTTCCGAGTAAAGTTCCTTTGTATTCCTTCAAGCTTCAACATATCAGACAGGCGTAGGTTAGAAAATAAGAAAGAGCAGTAGTTAGCAATAGGTCTTAAGCATGTTCTGTAGAGAATTGTTCTGGATTCTCTATGAAGGAAGTTACGAAAGATGAAACCAAGCATTCTTCTCATTTGGGAAAATTTATTGGAGATTCGTTAAGACTGTGCGAATAAATCACTCCAAGATCATTTACGGATGTGAGTTTGGGCAGTACATTCCTGTTGAGAGCGAGATCTATTTTTGGAGACGTGTCTCCTAGACACATCGAGCCACATTTCTCAGTATTAAGTTCTAGGTTTCATCGATTACACCAGACATCTACAGTATTGAGTTGATGTTGAATTGCGTGCAACAAATTTCCCAAGTCAGATTTGTTGGCCTGATAAATCACTGTTAGGTCATTAGCCTAGAGATAGGTTTTACCAGTGTTGAAACAAATGCATGTGCTATTGATGTAGATTATGAAAAGCAGTGGACCCAAAACACTGCCCTGCACAACACCACTGGTAATTGGTCGAGGTGTAGATGTATGTGAGTTGATTTTGGTAATCTGGTATCTATATGTGAGCAACAACCTAATCCATAAAGGAGGCCTAGATTTCTCTTGTATTGCCTTGATAAAATCCACAGAACAGTTTACTTCCCTAGTGGTTTGGGAGCTTACGTTATTCTCTTTAGAACGTCTGAAAATTCTAGGTTGACTCGGAGAGTACTGGATCAAGGGCACTTACTTCCATGGCACACTTTTGTCTGTACAACTAGTCAGACAGAAACTGAGTGAAGATCACTGGTCATGAAAGAACCGTTGACCTCATTACAGCTGTTCAGTGTAAGGGAATGCCAATATCTAAACCATGGTAGGTAGACTCATTTCACAATGAATAGAAGGAATGGAGCCGTTTACAGTTTTAGAAAATCTCACAGTTTCGGGATCTGCTCCACGAAGAGTAACTAGCTTGAGTAAGTAAATAAAATTTTGAGGACTGCGTGGCTGAAGCCACCGAATGTTTCCGTAAACTTCATTTCCTTCTATCAAGAGATGTTACGATGGAGTTAGATTGAGATAAATTGTATAAACAGATGACTTCCACATGTGCTTAAGTGAAAGACAAAGATCAGTTACTGTTTGTTGCAAACAAAGGACACACTGCTTCCATAATTTTGTGCAAACGTTTTGTGCTATCTCGAGAGAATATTCCCAAAAAAACACTAACAAGAAACCAACCGTATCATGAAATTTATTTGAGAACATAACATGGAAGTCAAAAGTGACACATCAAAATACTTTGACTCAGCTTTATCACTAATTATATGAAGCGTGTAAGGAATTATCATGTGAAGTCAACTTTTTTTAAGATTAAAAATATAGTTTGAGGAAAACCTAATAACATCTAATGCTATTTAGGTTTCTTCGATGAAAGTTAAATTTATCTTCAACTCTCAGCCAAGCTAATTTTGTCGACCCTTATGCAATTCTTAAACACTAGCTGCCACACCTACCTAAATGTAACGGATAAATTTACTTCACTGGTATGTTACCTCTTCAGCCACTTACTGGGATCACAACGAATTCTAGCTGAATGGAATAAAAACTGCTATTTCTTATAACTTAAGGGGAGATGGGAAGACTACAACTTACAGAAGGCCACTAGCATTACAACCAAGATTATCTAATGTAATGGAAGGGTCGGTAAATGTGTGAATGAGGGAGTATATGGATAACAGTAACATCTTTCATGCTGCTCAACATGGGTCTAGGAAATGCAGGTCGTGCAAATCCAATCCTAGATGAAATGGGATAGCTAGACAACCCGCTGGAAACAAAAGATACCAGTTCCTATAAAACTCTTTGGCTTCGAGAAAGGTTTCGACATAGAAACCCACATACTCCTGATAAAAAAGTTCTCGATAGTGGGCTTTACTTATCTACTTCTATCTTGACTACTATCTAGAAAACAGAAAGTTTCGTAGCAAGGAAAATAGAGTGCATGAGGGTTGGTGATTCTCGTTATCAGGAGTTTCACACCGACCGAAGAGCTTAAGTCAGCTCCCCTTTCTGATATTTAGTAATGCTATGTTAGATAAAATAGGCTTATGGGCACTAACCTAAGCATCCGTCCAAGACATCACCAACATGATCCTCGACGTAACCGTCAAAATATTTCACTTCCAAGAAAAAACACTCAGGTGTGCTCCCGCCTTTTCGCACTGAGAGTTGTTTCAACTTGGAATGTTCTTGCAGCCGAAGTGACCACAGCCCTCTCACTGCGTAACTTCGAGAAGAGACTCGATAAACACGTGCTCTTATACGGATTATCATCTGGAGCATGAACCAGACCAGCCTAATACCACGTTTCGAAACTTTCTTGTTGTTATCATTTTCATTTCCCTAGATAACCAACTTATTCTATGTCTCCCATTTCTTTGTTTCCTCTTCCTTGTCTACACTCCTGTCATCTCACTACCAATCACTTAACTTCTTTGATTATTTACTTAGTTCTGAAATTTCCCTTTCCCGATCAAGATTGGGATTTTTTCTTCAGAATGTTCTACTCAGTGCAACTAACTGATCTTTTACCTGGTAACGAGACACTACTTCCCTAAGCCAAACCCACACATTCAAATCACGGAACGTACACATTCGTAAATAACTGCCAACGAATATGAATTATTCCGGTTAAGCGACAGGACTACTATTCATTGGAAGTTACTAATAATCATGAATCATGCTGAAAGAATAAGAATGTAGCTCAGAAAATTAATTGATATACACTAACCAGTGAAAATGATATTGGATATTTTTTCGGGGTACCGCGCGGATTGTATGTGTCGCTACTGTTCAGTTGTTAACGTTCGTACAAATAAGTTACTGTGCTGTTTGGGAATCCTTGAATTATTCTTATTGTCCACTCAGTACTAGTCACACACGAGTCACTATTATGGGTAACTCTTCAAGTGGTCACAGGCGTAGACCGTCACTCGACGACGATGTCCTATCGGGCGTTCTTGCTGGTAAAAGATATGTGTATCAAATGTCACAAGTACGTTAATCTATATACAATATTATACGCTTCAACCACTTCAGGATGCTCCTGCTGAAGACTCCGTGATTAGTTTTGTGACTGGTAATTCTGCAGTCCATGCTATTGCCGACCAACTTCGTGATTCCAGACTTTATGACTCAGGTGGCAGACCTAATTTAGTTGTTGGAGGACCCGCTTCAGGTCTAGATATGTCTGAAGAAAACCAACCCGCTCAGAGTGTGCCGACGGTTTTCAAGTGGGATGGAGGAGGAAAAGATGTTTACATAAGTGGCACATTCAATGGTTGGCGGTCGAAAATCCCGATGGTTAAAAGGTTAGAACTGCATTATATTGCGTTAATAATAGTAGTTTGTTGTGAATGACTATTTGGTTTCACATTCTGAACCAATACTCTGGTGATCAATTTTAATCTGATGAATTCACACATCTAATTTATATGTCTTCAATGATACCTTAAGGCGTAAAGAAAAGTAATGAAGTTTTTCTATAACTCTCCAAAGGCTTAATACATATGGCCAACAATTGCACCACTCAATCAGTTTTAGTTACTAGTCATTGATTGTGGGATTGGACTGATTCCACATCTTGGTTTTGATGTTAATAACATACTCCAACCTACTCTTACGTCAGCCAACATGGCACGTCGATTTTGGCTGTTTTTGACTGTAATTAACATGACTGCAGACTCTTTTAGCTGCCTCAAAACTCACCATAGCACACTTAGTGGTTTCAACATACATAATTAGTGATCGAAGCATATATAATCAAAAGCCCTTGATTCATAAAGTGATGCGGATATGACTGTTGATCAGTATATTCATCTTTCTTTCAGTAAACGCATATCTATTTTATTCAAGTGACGCATATTGGTAGGAGGCAAACAAGCTTTCTGAATCCCTGTGAAGATTGCATCGAACGCTTATACACCGTGACTAATAAAACTTCCTAAATAAATGAAGTAGTATCCGATCGTTGATGTCTTCGAAGCATTGCTCTTATATCCTGAGACCACCAAGTAATTCGTGCTGTTTTTAGGAAGTGGGCACTAGATAAGGATGGCAGATCAATTGACGAAGTATTGGAACGTCATTACTTGAGGTGGTTGGGACGTTTATTACGAATCCTCAACCACCGGCTGCCTCGGCGAGCGATGATGCCTGGTATAAGGGTAGGCTGGGAAAAGCTAGGAACAGCCACACCAAAACATGGCACAAATCCACGGAGTCACTGTTAATTGAACTGAACCATGCTGGTAGGTGTAGACTACCTGGTTGAGATCCTCGAGATGACAGTAAGCGATGGTTAGAGACCTTGAATGTCATGGCTCAAAATCGTTTGCAGTGGTGCAGATGCATCTATTTATTGTCTCCTCTCAAATTCTAATCTTATGAGTTCCTCGTGACCATCTTTCTCTTCTCAAATTAATTTCACTGGGACATACTTCTTGAATAATATCTTCGAAGTCGAATCTTCCCTATTACTGCTCATACTTATACTACTTCTACCACTATGGGATTTGAATCAACAATTACATCTCTGTGCCGATCTGGTATGGCAGCTTAAACTAATGTATGTACGTACCAAGCTCTACGTTTTAGCTGACTGACTATCTAGGATACTCGTATTCAATAGTCCCCTTAAGTATTGTGATTCGAAGAGAAAGTGTTTGTTTTTTGAATAACGAAAACCTAAATATAGTTTAAAAATTGTGATCTAAAGGAACGTAAATAGTAAATACATTTATACCATTGCAACCAACTGGGATAAGTCACCCTACGTCTAACCACTGGTTAAAATAATCACGCAGACCTCGACCCGGTAGTCTGAACCTACTTACATGGAACAGGTGAGTTACCAGTGGCTTTTTGGATGAATTTTGCGCCTTGTTTTGGCCACTTCTGACTATCATTCGGAGCGCTCCTCAACCACAAAAAGTGACCCATGTATCTCTATAAATCTAATTTACAGACCATAAAATCATGTTTTTCCTTTTTTATTTCAGCTCAAGTAAACATAACTTTTATACAATCATTGATCTTCCTCTTGGTGAACATCAGTATAAATTTATTGTTGATGGACACTGGAAGCTAGACCAAAACCAGGTTAGTCATCACTGTTTTATTTCTAAAACTAACTTTTATGTTTATTTACTGTTTTCATATCAATACGAATCACTTGATAAAATGAAATACTTGAAAATGTGCATCTCAAAATACTATGACAGTTGTAACACAACTAAATAGGAAATTGCACAAATAAAGGTATCGATGATGCAGCCGGAATAAGTACATAGTCACATTAGTGTATTTCTTTAAAGCTGCATCTTTCTGTTTACGTGGAATGCTATCATCACTGACGTCGATCGCTTGTCTGTAATCTGCGTCCACTAATAACACCATCAATTGTGCAATGTAACAATTTTCCGCTTATAAAGCATTTAAGCTGCAAGCTCCATGAAATTATATCAATAGTCTAATAGTTTGGAATCTATCTGGAATCACGAATTTTTTCACTAATTTAACTGCTACAAATATTTTTTACATTCATGATATACAAAATGTAGGAGTTCCAGTGCATTCGCATCTAGTTTTCTTCGAAGATGGATAAGGTGACGAATACACTAAAAACTACAATATTTGCGCCTATTTTTCGGTTTTTAGCATTGCAAGGATTCGTAAGCCCTCTATGATAGTCCGAGATTACATAGAATTAGCGTTCATAATTATTCAGTACGAGCAAATTTAAAACAGAAAGGTTAATTGTAATATTTTCTGTTGTAAAATAGATAGTCCATAAGTTCGAGCATGCCATAACGTTGCGAGGCTACGGTGATAAATCATTAAAAGTTTAAATAATCTAACTGTTAAAGTATTGAAAAGAATTTTAGGCGTGCTTTATCCCCAAATACATGTAACGGAAAAAAATCTATCTTAATTTCACATACCGAATTAGGGTGGATTTTGTTCAGCCAATTTCCGAATAAGAGATTACTCTATCTTAAATAGTAAGGAATAAATTTAGCTTGTCATCAGTAAAACCGTCTGTTTATCTGTAAATCAAATATGAATTAATGGTATCAATGAAAAACAGTATACAGTCACATAACACGCATTTAACCAAAAGACTTGGTTTCTGTTAAGTACTGAATTGTGTGTTATTAGCATAATTTTTTAAAAAATTAACTGTGATATTTTGTCTTCTGGTAAATTATCTCTCCATACCCTCCATCTAAACTGAATTTGTTGTTTCCCGACCGTAGCTGCTACCTTGACGTGGTAGTCGGGCTTGCCTATCGTGATGACCCGACCAAGCTATCTTGACTGGAACATGTGTTCCTAAAGGTTCTGCCATGTCAGGCAGATCGGTTGGAGAACGATGAGACTGAAAGCAGCTACTCAAGGTCTGAGGGCGAAGTCGTACTGCTGACTGCAGAGTGGTGTGACAGTAGTAAGGTGTTTCTCTCGGACAACCAGCGTCTGCAACAATGCTGCCATCTCAAAAAGGAAGAAGGGATTAGAAAAAGTCAACCCTAAAAATTTCACACCTCACCTTACCTCACGGATTTGCGTCTCCGGCGGTTAGGGTGCCCACTGAGGGCTTTGAAGACCGAAACTAATACTCAAAACTCCTTTCATAAAAAGGCTGTGCGTCACCAGCCTCAAGAAGTTGTCCCTTGGGCTCTGCGGTCACGCTCCCAGGTCGTTAAGATCAACGCCAATCTACCTTCCTTTTCAGGTTCCTCAAGAAACACTTCTACGGTGTGAGCAGCCGGGAAGTAACATCCGCCCTCATAGCTATAAAAGCACACGAGACCGAATTGGTCATAATCAAATCCTTTCTACACCTCTTAGTAACTCTCTTATCTCCTCAATCAACCCTTCTTTCGGTCGTTTATCACCTCCCTGATGTCGCTTCTCGTTGCCTCGCTGGCGTAGGTATAGTATTAAGTTGTAGGGCAGAACTAGCTCTCTTAGACTGGACAGTCGCTTGTGCACTGTCCGACTAAACGGGACGGTACGGACTCGGAAGGATAGGGACAGTCGCCGTTGCCTCTCCGTCGTATCTGCCTACGCTCCCTCTGACTGCAGTTCAGACGACATGAAAGACAATTTTTATAGAAACCTCTCTAGACTTCTCCAAAATGTTAAGCGCTCTGATATAGTAATAATGGCTGGTGACTTTAACGCTCAAGTAGGTAGACTAAGTGAAAAGGAAAGACACCTGGGTGGATCTTATGGTGTCGCGGCTAATAGAACAAATAATGGCGACCGTCTGTTGCAGCTATGGTCAGATAACCGCTTATTCCTAGGAAACACTAACTTTAAGCATAAGGTAAAACACCTTTTGACCTGGCGACCTCCAAAGCCGACCCAACTAGATCACATCGCTATAAGCCATCGGTGGAGAGGCTCTGATGAAGACTTCCGCTCACTCTGGAACAATTGTTTAGACTGAGACCATGCTCTAGTGAGAGCGCGTATTCATTTGCGCCTTACTGGACGCAAGAAAAATATCATAGGGAAACCTGTTAGGGCTGTATTTAATGATAATGAAGCTAAGAATATATTTCAGGAACAACTAGAAAAACAGTTCAGCAGCCATGTAGTAAGTGATGCCCACCCTGAGGCAGCTTGAAACGATATTAAAAAGACTGTGGAAATAGCAGTGATATCTTCTAGTGAAGTAAACCATAAGGTTAGGGAGAAGCCGTGGATTTCACTAGCATCTAACGAGCTGATGGATGATCGTAAACTCATCCCGCCTGGCTCTGAGTACGATGAGAAGTGGAGTCAGCTCATGCGCAGGCTGTTAAAAAGCCTTCGAAATGATCGAGAACAGTGGTAAGTAGCGAAAGCATGGCAACTATTCAGATTCATCAAGGAAACCGGTATTAAGAACCCGAATGTTAGTGAGACTATCTCGGAAAATGATGGTCTTATTATTCGTTCTCATGATGAAGAACTAAGTCAGCTTATGCGCAGGCTGAAAGAAAGCCTACGTGACAAACGTGAACAGTGGTGGGTGGCGAAAGCAAAAGCGATGGAAAAGGCAGCGGTGATAGGCAACAACAGACAGTTTTACCGACTTATCAAGGAAACTGGTATTAGGAACCCAAATGTTAGTGAGACTATCTCGGAAAAGGGTGGTCTTATTATTCATTCTCAATCCAAGAGATTGAATCGATGGGCAGAACACTTCAGAGATCAGTTCAACTGGCCTTCAGCCACACTTCAGTTGACCACGATCTCTAGTCATCCTGAATGGGATCTGCATGAAATTGAGAAAGCGATAGGAAATCTGAAGTGAGGCAGAACAGTGGGTCCTGATAGATTGACCCCTGAGATTTTTAAGGATGGTGGTCCAGTTTTAGCAGCTGGGTTGACTGAGATCTTAGTTAGAACCTGGGAACTGGACATAATCCCATCCGAGTGGTCCCTGATTGTCCCAATTTGTAAGAAAAGACAAAAGTCTTCTTGTGACAGTCACAGGGGAATCAGTATAACTAATATTGTTTTTTAATTGTTCGCCTCTATCATACTTAGACGCCTTATTAGTGCTCGTGAAGAGCTTGTTTCAGACCTGGAGGTGGCGGTATAGACCACATTTTCACACTACGACAGGTCCTGGAACACAGATACACATTTAGGCGTGCGACAGTATTTGTCTTCCTGGACCTAAATGCGGCATTTGACTCTGTGGATCGTGAGGCTCTGTGGCAGTGTCTGTCATTGAGAGGTGTACCAAAGAAGTACAATAACCTCATACAAGCTCTCTACTCGAACACCACTGGTCGAGTGAGAGCCCATGGTGAACTGTCATCGGAATTCTTTACTTCAAGTGGTGTCCGTCAAGGATGTCTACTTTCCCCATTCTTGTTCAATTTTGTCATAGACATGCTTCTGAATATAACATTATCTTCGTTTGGATATTCGAGAGTAGACCTAGGAGGCTCACTTATTGACTTAGACTATACCGATGACGTAGTTCTATTCGGTAAAAAGGCTGACAAAATACAGAGTCTTCTGACTACCCTGAGCAACAATGCAAGCATGTTCTGGATGCGGTTCTCACCCTCGAAATGCAAAATGTTGCTTCTAGATTGGCTTGCAACGGCACCTGAACTAGTGACAGGGAGTGAAGCAGTTGGGCGTGTCGACCGCTTCACTTATCTGGGGAGTTTCATCAGTGCTGATGGCCTGGTCACTGACGAAATCTCAGCTCGGATACAGAAGGCTCGATTGGCTTTTGCCAACCTGCGTCACTTATGGCGAAGGCGAGGTATCCGTTTGGTGACTAAAGGACGAGTGTACTGCGCAGTAGTTCGCTCCGTCCTACTTTTTGGTTGTGAAACATGGCCAGTGAGAGTAGAAGATAATCGTAGGTCACTAGTTTTCGATCATAGATGCCTCCGAAGCATTGCTCGTGTATCGTGGGACAACCGAGTAAGCAATGCTGTTGTTAGGAAATGGGTGTTAGGTATGGATGGCAGGTCAGTAGAGGTGGTTGGGACATGTGTTGCGTATGCCTAACCGACTTCCTCGAAGAGCTATGTTTTGTGGTGTAGGAGTAGGTAGGAAGAAAGCTAGGGGCGGCCAGACCAAAACATGACAGAAATCCTTGAAGTCACTGACAAGTGGACTGAGTCATGTCGGTAGGTGTTGACTACCTGGTTGGGGTCCGCAAGGTGATAATAATCAATGGTTGGACACCCCGAGTGACATGCCTCAAAATCGTTTGCAGTGGTGCAGGAGCATTTTCTCTAAGTGTTCTCTGAAATTCTAACCTTCTGAATTCCTCATCACCTCTATCTTTCTTTTTCTAAATTTACCTCACTGAATTATACTTCTTGAATTCATCGTCGAACCCTTATCTCTTCGATTACTTCTAATACTTTTACCACCTCTACTACTATGGGATTTGAATTGACAATTATATCTCTGTGCTAATGTGGTATGGCATCTTGATCTGATATACTTATGTACGAAGTTCTATGCTTTAACTGACTGCATTTGTTGTTTACCGACAATAAACGTAACTCTCAATTGTTCTTATATTCTTTCTTGTGTTAATTCGTCTCGGTTATTCGTACAAAGATTGATTCGTTTGATTTCTCATCCATTGTTTCTAGGTTGTTGTATATCACCAACCTAGTAAACAGAAAATATTAAAATATCTTCTATTCACACATTGTGTAGCTGTTACATTTACTTGAATATCTTAAACACATGAATTGATACTCGAGTTTATTTTCTCCTGCCTCTCATTAGTAAGTTTGCAGATTTCATTTTTTGTCTTTATTATTTCTACTCGTCTGACAGCTGGTCGATGTTCCGTCCATGGTAGACGATTATTACTATTATCAGCAGAGATGGATATTGACTAGCAGTGGGATCTAAGACGCGCGTTTGGTCCAATTTAAGACTTTCCAGTTGGATGCACCTATATCACAGATCCGATATTCACTCCGAGACTCGATTGTTATTATTATTAATCTAAGTAGTGTTTTAAGTTATGGAAGTATTGTTTTCATTTATTCATTGTCAGAATCTGATTAAAATAGTGACGATTGTAAAGTTCTTTCTATGTGTATTCTAGAAACAGTGGTTCACACCATACACTCAACAAATTTTCAATGACATTATATCTGCTAATTTAAACAAATATATTTTCTGTCTTTCTCTAAGACTTTTTTACAAAATTTATAGCCTGTTTTCACCAGTCCAACGGGAGTTCAAAATAACGTGATTCAAGTCAAAGAATCTGACTTCGATGTGCTTACTGCTTTGTCTCATGATATGGCCAACTCTCGTGGTAGTAGTGGTAATGAAGATCGTTCTTCAATATCACAGGCTATCCCATTTCAAACCAGTGATGGAAAATCTGATCCACCTGCAGCATCAGAAGCGGAAATTCCTCATGTACCAAGTTCTGGGTCTGGTTCACCACCTGGTGAATACAACCGATTTATTCCTGCTACGCCGTTAGAAGCTTTATCCGCACAAACCGGGAGTGGGGGATCACTACCTTCAGCAGCAGTACATAATGCTTCAAATGATCCAAAGAAAGCCTTAACTCCTCCTTTATTACCTCCACAATTACTTCAGGTATACTTTATTTCACCACCGTTTTTTAAAATCAATAAATATATTGTCTAGTTTGAACTACATGGCTCTCCGTTATTGATAACGAAAACTTACCTAGTGGTACATCCATATTTTCTAGTTTGAAATCAATTGTTCCACTACAACTACTATGAAATACGAGTTTACCCAATCTAGTTTGAATATTTATACCATTATTTACAATTTGTTGAACAAAAACCATTTGTCTTCAGTAAAATTAAATGAGATAGCCTGTTTTGGTTTCGGCACCCTGGTAGTATGACAGCTCACACATAAATACGACGATTTATGTGGTCCATACATACTTTGGTGCCCCTTTGTACCAATGTTTAACTAAGTAAACGGATACAAATGTAATCACCATCATAGAAAATGTCCATTTATTTTTAGACTAATATAAATAAACTGGACATTAACGCCATTGGATGCCGACTCAGTGGTCTAGAGGTTACGCGTTCATGCACGAGACTGAAGGTCCTGGGTTCGATTTCTGCCTGCAGAGGTCGTGGACTTGCACTACTGAGGAGTCCTCCACTAGAAAGAAACTCATCCAGTGCCTTCCGGTCTGGCTAGGATCAGTTCATGATTTCGACTATGAAAATTGGGCTTTATCTTAAAAAAATGAGCGGAATTAAATCATTCTTTAAGTATATCTATGTATACTTATGTGGGTAACCTAATGGTAACTTGATCAAAAAAATATATGTACTTCTGGGATACATTCCTTATAAAGTTGCGTAATATGACGGAGAAGTTAACCTGTCGTATTCGGTTTTCAGTGGTCCTCTAGTTGACATCAGTGCGATAAAAACTTTATTCAGATTTTTATATCTTGATTAATGAAATAGTTTGGTCCCATGGAGTTTTGTCTCAAAAAATCACTATAAACCGAACTCTGATCAAGTAAGTGTAGTAAAGTCTTTGCATTATTTTTAGCAATGTGTTAAGGTATCTTTTGGTTAAAAATAATGAGGACATCGCTCACTAGATTGTTGCAAGAAATACAAGTAATACACCCTAAATTTGTTTGGTTTGTTGTTGAAGGCGATTGAAAGACTGTTTTACGTCCAGATGTTCACTAAACAGAACAACCTATATGCGTATCCACTGTGTATTAGTTCTCCAACAGATAACTGTAGGTACCATCTATCTACTACCATCCACATCGAAAAATATTTTAACTAAGCCATACAGATTATAACTGATTACCTCTAACTTTAATGTTAATAGTAATAAAATCCACTAAATATGTTATGGTACATCATAAAATCTGTAACATAAAATTGGTCTTAATTTTGATATTCAGAGGAAAAAAAACAGTTACTTAATCTTACATCTCACCTTTTTTTAGGTGATACTTAATCGAGATACAAATGTTCAATGTGATCCAAATTTATTGCCACAACCAGATCATGTGATGGTCAATCATATGTATGCTTTGTCTATCAAGGTCAGTGTTACCTAAAATAACATATTTTCCAAAAAATAAACAATTGTTTTCTGTATTTTAATTTGTTTCGATAATATCAATCATTATCTTAAACAACATACCCGCCTACCTACTTTAATATGTTATTTCACTGGTGTGTGCGTGTGTGTGTTACACGTTGTTAACTTTGTATGTTTTGTTTTTCTTGTTAGTTACTTCTCTACCATGCATTCTTAATTTTTTTTCTGTCATTAGTCACGTCATTTGATATGCATCAGATTTTATTCAGTTGCATTCATTCTTCAATGTTACCTTGAGTTTTACTCAAATTATCTGCCTAGTAGAAGACTACACATTCATATAAATCTACTTGGTTGGGGATTCGAATTATTAGGGCTTTCATTTTATAAACATTTCACTATGAACCATTACTATTAAAATCAATGATTTCTACACATTTGAAATCATCAATCAATCATTGTTAGACCACCATTAGAAACCTGGAAGCGCTGGACGGCCGTTTCGTCCTGGTATGGGACTCATCAGCAGTGGGCATCCACGACTCGTGCACTTCGCAGGATTCAAACCCGGGACCTTCGGTCTTGTACGCGAACACCTAACCTCTGGACCACTGGGCCGGCATCCAAAGGTGTTAATATCTAACTCTGATTGATACAGAGATTTTGCGCGACCTCACCCATTTGCCTTTGGTACTTACTGCCTACACCCGATTATTGATGATTTCTCCTGTCAACTTTCTGATCACTTCTACAACATACAAATTTAACACATGGTTTCGATTCCAATGTAACTGGGAATCACGAATGGCGAAATGTTGTTCACACTCGAATTCTCTTAGGTTTTTTTTGAGCACTTACAGCAACGGAAACGCTGTTAGAAATAACATGCTTTAAAACAAATCTCGTGTGACTGCGACCACGTCCAAGCTTGCATTTGAAATTGTAATAACGTAACTACTCGAGCTAACTCATTATCAAAATCTTCATCGCACAAATCATTAGGTTTAATATCAGTATTGAACTACTTATAATGAATAACCAGTAAGATCACTTTGAAAACTATCAATATTATTAGAAGACAAGTTTGAGGAGTGTAAAGAAAGAAAGAGAGAGGTGTGAAAAATTTTTCCTTAGTAAGTGGGTGGATGAGAAGAATACTAAGTTTAAACCATAGTCGTGTGAATGTTATTCGAAGAAATACGCTCAACCCCTTCTCTTATCTTGGCCAAATCTAGGGTCAATAAATCAATAGTAATTTCATTAACAAACATATAATCTTTCCTGTTGAAATATTTTGATTGTTATTATTATTATTATTATTATTATTATTATCATTATTTCCAACATCTTCCAAACATGAATAATTTAGTTAGTACTCACTCAACTCTATTATTTCACTCAGCCTATCTGATTCATGCTTATTCTGCTGATCACCGATCTCATAAGTTTCTTAAACGTATGAATTTATTCAAGTTAACACTTTTCATATTCACTTCGCTTCAGCATCAAGAATTTTATTCTATTTCTTTTATTACAAACAATCCTAAATTCACATGCTTCAATTATCAACAATGTGTTTAACCCTAAACCTGGTAACTTTTCTCATTGATTAATTTGCATATATATGTATAGAACTTGAAGTGATGAATTTATTGATTAGAATAATTAATAAGTGCTTAAAATAGTCATGATGACGGGAATTTCATATAATTCATGAGAGTGATTATACTGATTGATAGATAATGAAGTCTGGACTACATCAAACTTTCAAATGACAATATATTATACACATAGTGAGTTAGATAAATCTCTTCAAAAAAAATCTAGCACGGTACACGTCATACTTGTTCATATCTGTTTATTTCATCTCTATTTAGAATGATACAATTGGGATCGTTGTTTAGAAATTTTCGAATTTTCAATTACCGAAATTCACAACATGTTACATAGTTTAACGTGATAGTGTTCATTGAACTGGTTAATTGTTATCATAGATTATTCGAAATTATCCTTAGTTGGATTTTGTTTTTCCACATCTTGAGATGGTGGAGAAAATTTGTAGCTCAGGTGGATGATTGTTGTAGTGTTTCGTTCTCCAAGCTGGATGCTTCGGTTGTGGAGCTATGTAGACCAAAGGACAAAATTACAAAAGAAAAAAAATGGACATACATTCGATTGGAACAATGTTGAAATACTGGATAGGGGAACACAAAGAACACTAGAAAATTTATAGAAGCTTGGCACTCAGATCAAACAACAATTAACAAACACATCGACATTGACCCAATTTATCAACCAATCAGAAAAATCATAGGCAAACGTAAGATCAATAAGCAGATCAAAGGGGGAATACAATCAAAACAAAGGTGCAAACAACGACAGGTTTAAGGTCAACAGCAACCAATCAAGATTGAGGTTAACAGAACAAACTACAGGTCAAACGTGGAGAAATTCGAATGCTTCACTTCTATCTGAAGTTTGTGCTGATGATGTTTTTCAGAAGAACAATGAAAGCTCAACAACCGAAACATCCAGCTCAGAGAACGAAACACCCCAACAATTTTCCTTCATCTATTTGTTATTCAATTATTGCACCACGTTGCTACATTGGTTAATAGTATAGCTGTACAATTATTATCAATGAAGTTGAATTTGTGTAATGTACACATTGTATGTACCAAATCTCTCAGACATACTTCCTAAATGATTCTAATATAGAGATATTTGAAAAAGAAAGTATCATATATTCTCTCTCACTTCCAATGAATTTCGATTCAATGATTGAATTGTGTTTGATGATAATGTAAATTGTAAAGTTTGAACCATCTCATTGAACTACTGGCAAAATGATATTTTAATTAATGCTAAACATAATTTTCAAATAAATACTGGCTTAAAGTTTGTTGAAGCATTTAACTTTCAATCAGTAAATTATATTATTATACGTTTGAATCCAATCATCCTCCACCTTTTTGCTTTTTGATAACGTAGAAATTTTACTAACCTTTACATAAATATTTACTCGTTTATAAATAAATGAGTTACATTTTTGCTATATTGTCTTTTCAAAAATCTTTTCAATGTGAACAACAACAACTGAGCTTATAATTAATTCATTTTTACATTTAAGTGGCATTTGTTAATTTATTTTCGTCTATATTTCTCTCTTATTTTTATTCATTTTCAGGATGGTGTCATTGTTCTTTCAGCTATAACACGTTATCGACAAAAATTTGTCTCCACGGTATTATACAAACCAATATAAAAACAGATAATAACAAAGTGACAATGAAAAGAGAGAGAAAGAGGAAAAACACCTAACTGTCGTATAAATTATTATGAACATTACTCCTTCTCCTACTATCAATCTCCTCATTCTCATTCTCGTTAATTGTAAATCCATTCTAATATCGAAATTTTGTTTATATTCGATTATTGACTTTCATTTATCATGAATATGGTTATTTCATTATTATTATTATTATTATTATTATTACTATTATTATTATTATTATTATTATTATTATCATTATCATTATTATTCATTTTCACTATACAATTGAATCAAGATGAAATAAAAGTTGACTAAAAAAGGCAAACAGATAGAGAGAGAAAGAGAGAGAGAGAATTAGTGAGTAGTAAAGCGATGACAAGCAAATAACTGTTGAACATTTGAAGAGTTGGGTTTTTCTTTTTATTATATATTCATGATACCTATTCAGTTGTTGCCTTTGTTAATTTTTTCTACAATGAAGTGATGTTATTAATCTTTATGGATATCTGTCTATGAATGCATCGAATTGTTCTATTCATCAATTGGTTGATGGTTTTGTGTTTCAGTTGTAGACAATATTCTCACTTTACTATTTCCTACTTTTTTCTTCTGCAAATAAACAACACACAATGTTAATTGTTGACTGATAACTAGTATTGTTATTTATTGATAGTATGGAATCATTGTGTAATAATTTCTTCTATATAATATCTATTCTGTACAATCAATAGTTGTGTAAATGTATGTATCATTTCAAAAAGATGACAATCATAAATTCCATTGTTCGCTTTAATCGGTTGATTTGATTGAGATTTCTTTTTTTTTATACTAACTTTTCTCCTCTATGAATCTCCTCCATTGTTTCCCATTCTACTTTCATCCTAAATCTTGTTCTCATTTCATATTCATAAATATAATATTATTATTATTATTATTAAATAATTGTTTGAGTAGTAAGTGCATCACTTCGTTCCATTGTTTTCTTTACAAAGTTTCAAATTACTCTTACTTTTCAGGTGCCTGTATTTTCGTAAACTGTTTTTCTGTTAGCATCAGTATATACATTTGCAATGTTCATTGTTGTTATGGCTGTTGTATATGTAAGCAGTTGTCTATAATGTCCATTTCGTGAGTGTCTCCAGTACTGAATGATGAAAAAAAAACTAGGAGGAAACAGCATTTCTAAAGCGAAAATATCAACTGAAAATAATGTGTTTTTTTCCAATCTTGTTCACATTTCCCTTTTTTTTCTTCTCTCTCGATTACATGTCAGTGCAATGAATGAAACAAGTAGCAATACAATCATTGTGTAATAAATTTTACTGATTCCTTACCTCTAACTACTTCTACTACCTTATGCATATGTAAAACAAAAAATCTGTGATTTGTGTCAATCAAGTACAACTTTCTCTTTCTCTCTCTCACACAGTCAGTTACTAGTTTCCCCTGGAGTTGAAATTCATTAACAAACTGAATCAAATAATATACTAACACTATTGTTATTTCTGTTTTTTTTTTGTTTTGTTTATATATTCGTTTTTCATTGAACACGAGAATTCATTCAAATAAAAACTATGGATTTATTCTTTTGGTGCTGTTGTGTTTGTTCGAATATTGACATTAATATAAGAATTGATTGTTTGATTTCAATATTAAATAGTGTAACACTCATGTAGATTTGTTCACTGAGTTGAATGATAAATAATCTAGACCAAATTTTAAAGAAAGCACTATGGGAATTATCGTGTCCATATATATATATATATATATATATATATATATATATATATATATATCACTAGTAAACTCTACTTCTTTCGCTGCTACTATCGTTATTGAGTAGTGATAAAATCGAATACCGTATAAGTCAGCATATATACATACATATATATATCCATACCGACTGGGATAAGTCACCCGACGTCTCTAACCACTGGTTATAGTAATCACGCAGACCTCAACCCGGTAGTCTGAACTTACTTACATGGTTTCGTCACTTTTAACTATCATTTGGAGTGCTCCATACATATATATGGATATATAGTTATTACTTATCGGATGACTTGCAATAATTCAACAATCAGCTCTTAATATTTATCCACACACCCCTACCACATGGTCTATTGTATACATACAACAATAATGAAGTTTTTTAAGTATTTTGATTTTGTAAAATTCATGCTTCTTTCTAAATTTCTATAAAAAGAAAGTCTATTTCGTTGGTAGTATTAGTTTGTTTACTTGGAAGAGTTATAAAGATGCTACATGTCAGTTATGATTATAATAAGTTTTTTTCTATTAGATGTTGTTTTAAAATCTTTTTGAAATAACTCTACTATGGACTATCATTTCAGTCAGCATTATTATTATGTACTCTTATTGTCAATGAAATTGGTTATTCAGTTATTCGACTACTAATTTCTAATGGAATACATTATCATCACTGTAATGTATATGAGTGAGTATTTCTGAATTCTAATATCAAGCTAATAAAGTCGTTTAGTTTTTATGTATTATAGTTTTTCTATACATTCCAAATGATGGATATCACTCTATCAACGACAACTTTCTTCATGTATCTTTGTTGTAAGTACGCAAATACTTTGAGTGTATTCGCTAGTAGCGCAACTCAGTTGACTAAACAAAATATTAACTTTAAATCAAAGAATTCGATTTTAGTTGTAAACCAATACATGTTACTTTGGATTTTCAATTTCATAAAAGATGTCCTTTAATCATTACCTTAATACGTCTGCTGGAATCTGATTATTTTATAAATTATCCCACTATGAACAGAATCTATCGATGACTTTCTTCAAAGATATCCTAGAGTATAATACATGTATAAAAATGCTCAGCGCATTCTTGTTTAGTTATAATTATTTCATTGTACACAGAAAAGAGAAATAAACAGTATGTATTTTATTTATTTCAACACTGGCATTGATATGGTATTCTGTCTAGAAGTACGTTTTATATTTATTTTTCAAAAAGAACTAAATATTTTAACCGGATTTATATTAGACAGTCACGTCCATTTGGTATAAATGTAGACGCATATATGTTACATATAACTTGATATCTAGTCACGAGCGTAGATGAAACTATGTATACAAATTATGTATATGTATATATGTACCTGTATGTTTCCCACTCCGCTAACAATAAATTACGCCTTAATACTTAGACCCACAATACAACATCACAAATTCCTAATTCCAAAATTAGTACCAATTTCAAGTAGTGAAACTTGCGATCACCTGTTATTTATGATTTTGATCAATAACTGATGTATATTATATACAAATGAATGAAAACTATGTATTACAGTGTATGTACAACAATTCATGAATTTTATACAACTGAAATATATTCAGCGATAGAAAATTGTTTAGTATATTTATAATTAAATGACTATTATTTATCTGAATATTTAGTTGAAAGATTGATAATTATAATAATTATCATCATCAATTATAGTGATATAATATCATAAAGAATATACTAGAATTAGTCAACAAAAGTTAAGCGAAAAAACAATGGAGTAAAATATTGTTTAATAACTTACCTATTATTTAACTCAAATACTGGCTATTATGACTGAATTAAGGAGGGCGGATGTGAAAAGTTTTTATGGACATAACGGCTGAGTTTGTTGAACTGGATACCCCTCACTCCTGCTACATCTAAAATGTACTTTCGTAAACCAACCTATATATATTTATGTCTACTTGGTGTCTTGTATCATTTAAGTAAGCCAATAATAGAGCTGTGTTACTTGTCCTTTACTCAGTTAAATAAGATTATGTTCGAGAAAACGGTCGCAAACTTGTTTAATTGTTCACCCTATGTAAGCGACTCCATGAAATTCATTGGACTGCTAAATGTACATAAATGAAACTAATTTAGGAAATCTTTTGCAGAGCTTTCCTTACTCGTATTATCATCAAAGAACTGTTATTTCAGATATGTTGATTTCTAGCTTTGTCCTAGCTTGGACTATATGTTTATTTATTAATGCCAGGGCAATATGCATTCTTGTTGCGTAAATTCCGGACGGTGGTTAACTCTTCCACAATAGTATTCTCGGGACAGTACGTTAAACTTATTACTAGTATACTGACCGACTGATGATTTTCAATACATACTTGTTTTTAACGTTACCTTTGATCTTCTGGTTAATATAATCTTGAAAATCGATATTCGACTACGTACGTTCTTTGAACATGATGGCTGTAAATAAATGAATTTAATTAAAACTTCTACACAAACTAATCTTATTCATTACGTTTGTGAATACCAAAAAGGTATCGCCTATGTAGCTTCAGTATACTGTTAGCTAGTTAATTACAACCTTAAGTAGATCCTCCTTCTATTGATCAATTGAATTATTCTCTTTCCATTGCATAACTGTTTTTATTAATATTAAATTTCTTATCAAATATTCTCAATGCTATTTTGATTTTTTTTTTTGATGATAAGAATTTCAATATTAAAACAATAGATTTATGCATTATGTTTAATTTTCTATTTCCAAAAGAATTTCATATATATTTAAATGAACCTTTTGTTGTTTTGAATAGTTTTCAAGATGAAAGTAAAAATAATCAATCAATCAATAAATTTTATGCACCATTTCAGAACATTTTGAACTTGTTCATCTATTTAATTGTTAGAGTTAACTTGTACACAAACAGTTTTTATGTAAATCATTCTGTAAGGATACTTAGAATGACTTTTTATTAAAAAATATTGCATATAGAACAAAATAGATGTTTTTGTAACTGACACATGTGCAACTGGTTTTTCTATCATTAACTAATAAGAAGAATTTGTAATGGACTATATTATTGAAATAATGAACCCATCTGAGATAGGCAGTCATTAGAAACCTGGAAGCATTGAACGGCCGTCTTGTCATGTCACAGGACTTCTCAGTGGTGCGCATCCACGACTCTGCACACGGAAATGGAACTAATCAATCCACGATC